ATGGATGGAGCCACTGTAAAGTTAAGACCATGAAACTGGGGACAGTGTTCAGCCTGAACATGTCTGTGGCTGAGGCTGCAATAGTGATGCTGACCACAATAGCATGGCTATAATGTGTGGTGGTAGCCACACCAGACCTCACTCCTCCTACTCTGACAAAGAGTAGCTGTACCCAGCTAACTTTTCTGGAGACTCCTCTCATTCTCAGTAGTTTAAGGGAGAGAGAAGCCACATGAAAAGTTTTTGTCATCTGATGGCATTTTAGTGACTGTCTTTTAAGACAGAGGAAAAAATACTTCCATAGCAAGTACCACCAGCCTCACTGGGCATAAGTGCTAAGCTTGTAGCTGCCTTAACAGATAGAAAAGAAATGGAGGTAAAGAAGGGAAGTATTTTTTCTCCAAGTCAGAACTGATGAATAGCAGCAGAGGAGAGCCAGAACATCATGCTGTTAAGATTTCAGGACTTAATCCACAATTTCAAAGTTGTTTGCTTTCTTTTCCCCCTCCAATTTCCAGTTCCTGCATTCACAAGAATCTGAGCTTTCCATGAGATTCTTTTCAGAAATCTGAAAAGATGCCTGAAGTGCATGTCAGACAAAAATTAGTATGTACTTTCCCCATAATGCAGTTAAGCCCACACATTACTTATAAAACATTGTCCAGATTATGGATCTTAACTCTTAACTGTTGGCTCTGTCAACACAATCCTAGGAAAATAAATATGTCATTAATCAGCTGATCTAATAGTTTCAGTGGAGCTCATAAAAATCAGATACACCTTGAGGTTTGTGCTGAGTCTGCATCCTCAAATACTTAAAAAACCACACTATATACTTTAGCATTATGAGACGCATTTTGGATTAAAAAATCCTCCTTCACCTTCAAAACCAAAAGCCCTGATACTCTGCCAATCTGATGTTTGGAACTCTTCAAACAGAAGTTCAACACCCTGACAGAACAGTAAGTCTTTTCTTTGAACACCTTTTTTCTTTGGGAATGTTTCCTTTTAAAAGCACACTACCAGCATGAAAAGCTAATGCAAGCAAACTGTCAGGTACACAAATCCTTCAGTGAAGGCACCTAAACAGGTTCACTACATATAAAGAAAGAAGACAGAATTAAACTCAGTATCAAAAGGATTTATTTGCAAACAAACATCATCTGCTGAATGCTTGCCCAAGACAGAATGGTATTATCATCAACAGGCAGCCCAGCAGCCAAACTCCTCTCTCCACTACCATGACACACACCAAAGATCCAAAGTACTGGACAGCCAGAAGGAGGAACAAGTCAATGCACTCACCCACCACAGTGGGCATGAAGAAGGGAGCAAGCTGGGCAAGGAACCAAGCCATAGGCAATAGTAGCAGACAGGCCAGGAGCCCAGTCATATAGTAGGGACTCAGAGACAGCTTCATGTTCCAGCCCTGCCACTCTGGGAGCTCCACTTGTCATAAAGAGTCAGGGAGCCCCTTTTGCTAGCCAGAATTCCCACACAACACATACACTGCATAACCAGACCTCCCAACTGCACTGCAGGCAGAGTCAGCTCTTATAGAGGAGGCTTCTTGCCCTGTCCCCAAGTTAATGTGGAAGGTGGAGGCACCTGGTGGTGATCTCCTAATCAGTTCCCACCCAAAGCTGGCCAGACCCTGGGTGAAAACCAATGAGGAGGGGCTTTCTTGCCTCACTGGGGACATCAGCTATATGCCAACCCTCATTCAGGGCTGGGGGCTTAACCCCAGCACTTCACATTGACCTGCTAAAGAGCTATACATGCCATGGAACAATTAAGAAAGAAGGTTTCTCTCTTTAAGTGCTCCTTATGCAGGCATATTCCACCCTTGTGACCCTGTGTCAAACTGTACTGTCCCTACTAGTGAGAAGATTTGTACCCTTCTGACAAAAGTAAAAACACAGGTCAGCCTCACAGTGCAGTGGGCCACCCACAGAAATGAAGGAGTTTTCAACTAGTGACCATCAGAAAATGCACATACTAAATTAAAAAGCTCCCTGGCCAGCTGCTGGCTCTGAGTAGGTCTTTGACAGCATAGGCTGTCATAAGTGTGAGAGAACTATGCTACATCTTGAGAAGTCAACTCTAATCTGTTTTCTTGTGCCACCAACCACAAGCAGCCCTGCGGTACTGCAGCACCCACAGTGCTGCTGGGGCAATTGTACCATTCTCAGTGAGGAGCAGGGGTGACATTGTGACTCCAAGGAAAGATGAAGCTCTGCTCCATCACCACCTGTGGACAGAAAACCTATTTCTAACATGCCTGTCCTAAATGCAGAAGGGTTGCACAGCATGGAAAAAATGCTGTTGAAGAAATGCTCCTTGTTTCTTGTATCTATTATTATGGATTATTTAATGTCAGCCAAATACAGATCACAGTCTCCATTACCAATCAAACCATACATTTAAATGAGGGGAAATATTATTTAACAAGAGAAAAGTAAAGAAAAACAAATCAAAGGACCGAAAAGGAGAGAAAATGAGGGAGAAACTGGTTACAGAAATGGATGGCTGTGGGTAGCTGAAGCTTTTTCCACCTGCCAGCCTGGCCCTCCTTCCTGGGCAGTTATGCAATTCAGAGGAAGCAGTGTGCTGGGAAAGATCCCACAAGGTGCTGGAAAACACAACACCAGAAGGAAAAGTCTTACCTGGTTAAATGAAAATGACCTAAAGGAGGAAGGCAGGTGAATGTTGTCCTTGTTCCCAGGCTGACTTAATCATCCTGCTTTGCCACTTGGTGAACAGTATTTCTCACTGAAATGGGAAGTTCAATTCTGTTGCAATGTTACAAAGTATGGCAATTCTTTCACCTTCCTTAACCTTTACTCATTATTATGGACATTCTATTAGTCACGTGTGTATTTGAATGGTGTTTTAGCAACTTGTTCTATTTTATGGTCTCTAAACTTCCTTGAGTGTTAGGAAAAAAAAAAAAAAAGAAAAAAGTAGCATTCAAGAGGATCAGTTCTAGTTTTGCAGCTATGACAGTTAAATATCCTTTATTCCAACTGCAATGACACATGCTTATTTCTATTTCAGTTAATGGCAAAATCTTAACACACTAGTAAGTAGTAAATTAAATTCTAGGGTAGTAATTCTACACAGTTTTTTTTAAAGTTCAACTTCTAAAAGATAAAATATCAGAAATAATATTACAGAAAAAAATATCTGTCTATAAAGTGTCATCTGTAAGATGCTATCACTGCTTTTTCTTTGGAATAAAATGTACTTTTGAAGTACTTTTTGTTGTTCTGATAGGATAAAAGCATAATTTAGCTTACTAGTGTATTTTTTGTTCTACCACATAATTAGTTAACGGAAATGGGAATAGAATAAATACAGGACTATCCCATTTAGGATGCCTCTTGATATTTTGTCCTGGATCCAAAATTCAAATTTAAGGACAAGTTCAGTGTCAATCAGTTGAATGCCCACTCTATAATTTCATTTGGATGTGGTTTTACTGAATTGCATTGGATTCTTTTTTTTTTTTTTCTACTTCATCTAGTTAATTTAACATTTAAATTCTTCCCTACAGATTGCCTGTGATTTTCATGCACTGGCATTTCACTGATATTCCCTAATTCTTCACTGAAATTCTTAATGAAAATACTGAGTAGCATGAATGCTTGACAGACACTTCTGCAATCTCACTTGACAGCTCAGTGGTGGACCACTGAGAACAATCTTAGCCTTTAGTTAAATACATAAGATTCAACCAAGATTTGGACCATGACTGCTGGTACTCTTGGAAGTGGGTGATCCAAGCACAAAAACTAGAAAAAAATTACCAGTGAGTAACAGCAGCAGGTAAATTCTGATAGTGAGGATTAAAATGAACAGCTCTCTGGGGAAGAGATGTCTAGGACCTCAGAAAAATGTTTTGCAAAGCTAAATCTAGGAACAGAAAGCCTGAGGAAAAAATAATGCATTTTTTTTTGTTCAACAGGCAGACTTTCAGGACATTGTATCAGGTACATATATTTTATCTGTCTCTGAGTGCTTCTTGCTTGAAAAGTTACTCACATTGTGTTGGTGTTTTTTTATTACTCTTGCAGACTCCACTAAGAGTCAGAATTCCTTTCTCCTGTCATAACAGGATCCAAACAATTTTCTGATCAATCCTCCAAGCCAAACAAGACCATAACTTTCCATAAGAAAAAGCAACTTCCTAGAGCAACCCCAAATCCAAATCATAAAACCAAAAAACTTCGTCTTGCTTTCACTGCTCCATAACCCAGCTAGCTGCCTTTAGACAGGAGGCTGAGGGGGGAACGTTTCCCTCTGCCACTGTTTCTCTCTGTCGGAAGCTGACTGCTGTCATCAAATGTCTGTGCGCTACATATCACGTGTTTCTTTGATAAACTGATACAACAGTGTCCTGGGACACTGAATAGTTCTCAACTCCAAATTACTGCAGGTTTTTGTTCCTAATGTACACAGAAAATTTAGAGAAATTCTTTGAACAGCAGTTTGCGAGGTGTGTGCTCGTTGAACAACTCCTCCCTACCACAGACAATACTGAAGCATTTCTGATTTCTTCTTCAGACCAGACTTTGTCTATCAGCCATCTGCCACCGACTTTAGCCAGCAGCTACTATTGAAGCATGGTTTCATCTTTCACTAAAGGATTAGCCCATGCCATTCTCATCTGATATAGTCTTGCCCATCCATATATTTAACACCTTATTTTTAAATGTCTCTTTCCCAGTTATAACGCAGAGGTTATTATTCCCAGAGGTGATGAGGAGATGATCTGTACGAGTACGAGGTGAGCATTCCATTAAATCCTCCAATAAGCTCCGAAAGGGACATAAACTCTCTTTGTTGTGGGTGCAGTTGAATCTCTTCTGTTCTCTTCTTTTGCCAGGAAGATACGAGTGGCTGGAGTGTTTGATTCTATATATAACTAGTTGATGTCAGCTGGATGCCAGCCCCTTTGAAGAGGATCAGCCCCCAGTTTGTCTCAGCACTAGGTACCATGCAGATCCAAGCACAAGGGTAGAAACCATCCTGGACCAGGGAGGTCATCCCCATGCATAACTAACTCCTGAAGCTTCAACTAAAGGGTTGAGATCGCTTTTTTTTCTGCACAACAAAACAGTAGGGTAAGTGTATTATTTCCTAAAATATTTTGACATTGTCTGTCCTACAAACTGTCATACAAAGGACATTCGTGTAACCTCTTGACTCTGCAACTAAAAAGATGCTTTTCTTTTTTTATTTTACTTACACAGAGATGCACTTTTTTTAAAGGTGCCAGAGCATCTCATTTAGTTCCTCAAAATCTTTATTAGATTAAGAAATGTCAAAATGTAACATTTCTGAAATCATAAGCCAAGATGCAATTAAAATGTTAGTTAAGAATTTACATCTTTTAATATGTGTGGATGTGAGAAGGCCTAGACCACTGACACTGATTTTGCTACAGAATTTATGTAGTCAACTCAAAGTCCATTCCTTTGAATCTTCTATCCATCAGAACATGTCCTAGCACCTGTCTGCAAGCAAGAACTGCCAGTGCGTTTTGCACAATTGGAAGTGCAATATTTCTAAATCATAAATAACTAACTTCACTATTCAGCCATTCTGAAAAGGCCGTTAGAAATTAAAGTTGGCTGAATTGTACAAGCTCACTCCACAATGTAAAAATGTGTTGTTTTTTTTCAGCAAGGAAAAATCGTATCAGCAAATCACAATGTTATCACATTCTGCCATGGTCAAAGAGAGGAAACAACAAGCATCAGCCATTATGGATGAAATGCACAGAAATGGTATAGCGCTGAACCCAGCTTACTGTATATGCAATGTCCCCTAGCTCTCCCTAATATATTTTTTTAATCATAGAGTTTAACTCTCTTGCAGCTTTGTCTCTGGGTGTTTTGCCATAAATAATCTTGTGGGAGTATCATGCTGCCTATGGTAACTAATCCTTTTGTAGTTGCCTCTTTTCATTTGAAAGCTATTTTCAGATGAACAACTGCTGTGGAGGAATGAAGTAATCTAACAGCTGATGTACATTCTGCTAGGATAGCCTTTCAGAATATTATTTGGGGTTAATAACATGACTTCATTCCATTTTAAAAGGCTATCATCTAAGACACGTGCTTATCTGTATCCCCCTTTTTTTTTTTTGCTCTGTTTCACTCTGCTTTTTTATGTGAATGATAAAAAATTTTGAAAAAAATGTTTACATCTCCGTTCCTTCCTCTCAAACTTTACCTTTGTAACTAACAAATTTTACTAGAATTTGAAAGTGCTCTCTAATGCATAGGCACCGATTAATCTTATATGAAGAAATTTTACTTTTCTGTTATTGCACTGATGAAAATGCAAACACTTATGAGAATGTAGTTTGATTTTCTAAAACGGGTTCTTAAAATTATGCTCTAGTGTGACACCTTAAGAAGCAATTAAATCAGCTGGGAATATGAATCTGCTTGGCTTTCATTAGGTATGTGCTGGATGCTTCTTGAGATGATTCCAGTCCTTCCCATGAAGCCTTTTTTACCACCTACATAAAAGATCAGTTTTTAAAAACTGATAACCACTCCATAAGCCTCACTGAAAAAAAACCCAAACCAAACCAAACCAAAAACAAAAACAGGGAGCTCCATTAATATTTAGAATTTATTAAAATTATACCACTCACGCAGGGTAAAAAAGTGACCACTGAATTCCAGCACTGAAAATCTTTCTTGTGGGCTTTTACTCCAAAGAAATTTGGGATGATTTCTGTTCTCACTCACTGACCATCGTGACTGCATAAAGAGCAGGACAAGAGATGTAAGGTCTAAGGCTTTTAGAAAAAGAAGGTACAAGTTTCAGAACCTGGTCCTAGTCCTTCTGATATTTCCATAGTTTTTTTCTGTAATTTCTATTCCTAACCAAATACCTCCTCTTTCCACTCTCCACTGAACACATGCTTAAGTCTGAAAGCCAGTCCACCTTTACAGACTCCATTATTTTTTGGTATTGTAAACCCAAATACTATCTATGCCTGAAATAGCCTCTAAACTCTTCAGGGAAAAAAACAAACAAACATACAAACCAAACCAAACCAAACCAAACCAAACCAAACAAATAAAAAAAAAAACAAAAAAAACCCAAACACAAAAAAAAAACTCACCGCAAAGCCCAACCCAACTGTCTTTCATGTGTTTATTTGGAACTAGGCATTTTACATGGTAAATGTTGCTACTGTTCATAGCTATACTAAAAAATCTACCATACAGTCAGTAAAGATTTCAGTCATTGCCTTTATTGGATAATCTGTGCTGATGTTTGGCATTTGCCTCACATAATCTGCCCTTTTTATTATTTGCTGTCAAGTTTAGATTCATACACATAGATACACAGCTTGTCCTACAAGACATTCAAGACTTTCAGTGTACATTCTACTCTTGCATCTTCTTTGGATGTGTGGGATATTTAAATGTAAAAAATTCTTAAATTCCATGAAATGGGTATGGTAAGAATCTGAAATTTCTAAGTGTACAAGCTCAGTGAAACCAGCTAAGAAACAGAAGGATAAGCAAAGCCGCAATCACACAAAGTGTATGCTAGCTCTTGGGACAAAATCTAAATGACTCTTGGAAAAACCAAGGGGAAGTCTGGTTTTTAAATGGCTAAATTTAGCTCTATTAATTTTTTGACATATTAATTTTCCCCTAATTGCTACTTCAACAAGCTTAACTTGAGATCTGGAAGATGAACCCCTGTCTTTCTCAGTTTTGCATCACTGTTAGTAACGATGGTCCTGCACCTGGTAATGATGCAAAAATGGAATGTACTGTTTCCTCCAGTCTCACAGACCACTGTGAACAGAGGTGAACAGTAACAGAAGAGTCTGTAACACAAGCTCCAGCAGCTTGGAATGACACACAGAAAGGACACCCACTGCATTTTTGTTTCAGTCTCTTTTTATTATAATGCTTTCAAGTAAACTGTGAATCTCAAATTCCTTGTTATAAGATATTCATAGCAGAAATAGTTGATAAGGTGCAAAACCAGACAAGTTTTCACCAGTGTCTCAAAGATTACCAGTCTCTGGGCAAGACTGGTAATGACTGAAAGTCCCATCTCCTCTTGGCTTGTGGGACAGGACTTTGTGTTGTAGAGAAGTTCAGCACATCATAAAATGCTGCAGGAATACACACTAACTGTAAACCCTCTTAGAGTCTCAGAAGAGAGACTGTACTAGTAAATCAGCGTGTGGATACAGTGATCTTCCCAAGCCCTTGGTTTTTCACAGAATCAGACCAATCGTAACATTTCTAAGGCTATTTGGCAGAGGTGAACCTGTACGTAAACACCTATGTTTAAGGAAGCCCTTGGAGTTCATCAGGTTAGCCTTCGGTTACACCTAAATCTCAAGTCTAGTTCTATACTATTTCTTAAACGCATTCTTGGGTAGCTACATGATTAACTATCTTTGATGATATAGTTAGAAAAAAATTTTATTTCTGATACTACAACAAATATACTCTCTGATATTCGTTATTAAAATTTATAATCCAGATTAAGGTATTTAGAAGATTGTAAACTGGAGGATTAAAGGGGGATTAAGCAGTGAATGCAGAAGGAACTATATAAATCATACTTAAATACAGTATTTTATAATTTTAAGCACAGGACAGGAAGGACTTGTCAGGAACAAATTAAGGAATGAAGCTAAAAGGTTAAGATTAGTATTAAAGTATAAATTAAACTTCCAGTATTAATTTACGTTGTCCGTTTATGACATTGACATTCTCTATCATCCTCTAAATGTCCTCCTTTTCTCATTCTTCATCACCTTTTCTGCACTGACACTGAAACAATCCCTAGACACATCATAGAACTAGGCAGATGATTAGATTTTAGCTGGCAACAGATTCAAGTGAACTTCACACTTACAGTTTTGGGATGCTGCCTGGATACACAATAGAACACAACTGTGGGTTACAAAGTACCTTGGAGCCTTCGGTTAACATTAACAAGAACAGTATGTATGCAAGGGAACAGCAAGGCCCAAAATAGATAGCATGTCCCAGAAGAACACTGAGTAGTTTGGACAGAGATCTGCAGTCACCGTGGCACCCCTGTCACAGAGGATGTACATCCTACCCACTCGGTGTGCAAAGAAGAGAAGCTTTTCCTATGTGAAAATGTTGCTGATTTGAGTGGTAGATTTCTTACTCCTTACTAATATAAAACCATCCAGCAGTCCGTACCCCTGCATTAATCTGGCAATACAATGAAATCAAAATATGCACAAGCAAACAACCAGCACACGTATCGCGACCACAGAGCCAAAACCCCACCACTGGGTCTCACTAATCTGGCTACATGCAGCAAGCTGACTCATTTTCTGCCATGCTAAGGACTCTCTGTTTTGCCATTACCTCTTAACTAACAGGAGGTCGTCAGGATTCTTTGGGCATACTATTTTTAAAGCAGAAGTGCATGCTCCAGCTCACCAGTTAGCTTGCTCTTGCTCCAGTTAAATCTGTTGTGAACATTCAATTGAAATCAGTACGAACAGAAGTGGAGGCGCTCCAGGGTCCACAAATCTGTTTGATTTACTACATAGAAAACTCTTGTCTACCCAGCTTTGGCTAAATATTTAATACACCTATCACAATTAAGTTTTCCTGTATGTCAGCAAACTGCATTGTTTTTCCAGCACAAAGTTCCTAGGAGACACGTGCCACGTTGAACATACCTTTTACTCAAAATGACACTCTGCATGCCCAATGTTAACTTTGACATGAGGTACCCTCTGCAGTTAATTAATATGTATTGTCAATTTTCAACTAGGCTTCCTGTGTGCTTACTCTGGAAGCAAGATACAGTATTTTACATAAAATTTACTTTCACTTCATTTTAATGCATTCAATATATGTAAAATGTCAGAATTTTAGATCCTTTAGACCATAAGAATGCGTGAAGAACAAAATGTTTTACTGTTAAATAAATAACAGAATGTGACTTGGAGTAAGTGGACCAAAGAAACACCCTAGACCGTTGCTACAATCCTCAAAGCACATTGCATCTTCCTATTTTTCTTCTTTACGTTTATGAACAACTGAGAACAATGTCAGTTAATAACATGATAAATATTAATGTAAGTGGCAATAGAAATTATTTTCTTAAAAATTCTGGTTTTACTAAGCAACCCAATTATTGTTCTATTTGTTACATTCTACAACCTTCTAAGCAGAAATAAATTGCTAGAAAACAGTTTGTTCAGTGTTGAAGTTGCTGTATTCTAAGGTTTAAGCTTCATCAGTAGGTTAAGGACAGCTAGTGAGAGAGTTCAGTCACTCAGCGACAGCTTGCTCATTGCCACCAGCATCCTGGTTTCCAGACCATTACCAGAAGATAACCAGTGGAGTTTCTGAGCTCTCCATTTACAGTCCCAGCTGACCTCCCCTTCCTCTGCGAATGCATTTTCATTTTCAAATCTTCCAGGAGGTTACTGAAGATAAAGGAATTTTTCCCAAGTAGTGAATAAAGTAATACCGTATCTAGAAACTCAGTTTTCTCTTAGAATGAAAATGTTCTAAATTCATCAGTTCCTAGAAGTTTGTTGTAATTCTTTGTTAGGACTCTCATTTTCAACACCTTCAGCTTTATTTGGAAAGCTTCTTTAAAACCAGAGTTAAAGAATGCTATGTAATGGAGACTTTCTAATGCAAACTTTTCTTAAGGTATAAAACATGCCCTGGATTTCAAAAGCAAGCAGAATATTAAAGACTAATTGAAAATAAAATGTTTATAAGCAATAGGAAACTGGTAGGTATGTTTAAAAAGGGTTACTTGCTCAGCTACCCAGTGCAGGACACAGAAAGTTAACTGAAGGTTTGATGTGGGAACCCTGGGACCCAAAAGAACTTTGTCCCTAGTTTCAGCAGAAGCCAGGTTTCACTAGTCTGCTACTAAGATGGTGTGTAGGACATTATAGACCTGATTTTGCTAACAGCTGAATGCTATTCAAGTGAAGGAAATTTGGAGCTTGAGGTGCTTAACATCTTCAAAAGGTTTGTGGTGTTCAATACTTTGCCCCAAAATTCTGGAAGAATGAATAATTTCACTAACATCCTATGAAGCTATGTGATGTGTTAGATAAGTATGTATTAACATGTTGTTGGATTCCAGGTGTAGGCTATGCAATATCAAGCATTTGAGAAAAACAGAGGTACGTATTTATCCATTGTATTGCAGTCTCACCCAGCTTAGATCTCGGAAAAAAGGTCAGCACCCCCAGAGATATCATGGTAGAGGAACTATCGACACTCAGCAACAGAGGTGCCAGACTCTTCAAGAGACGTCAGCGGAGATCTGACAAATACACATATGAAAACTATCATTATGTAGCAAACAAGCCAAGAAATGTGAGTATTTTGTAATAACTTATTAATGAAACCCAATGAGACCAGTTTGGTTTCCCTTGGTGCTCATGATACACATTTTGCATGATTTGCTTGTAGTCTCTTGCAGAAGAATAAAAGCAAAATCCTCTATTAGAATGAGGCTAATGTGAAATGACCCATTTGCATTTTATAGAGCTCCTAGAGGCTAATAAAAGTTCTGAAAGCCTTAGTACTTAAGGACATCAGATTCAAATCATTCTCATTCAAATATGACTTAGGGTACTGCTAGTGATCAGAGCTCTTTTCCTGTAATAATTGGCTCATTGACTACTGGGACAATGACATTCATGTATTTTACCTAACTCTCCAATGTGCTGCAAGGTTTGATTATTTGAAAATGAATACTCTATGCCCAGTGTTATAGGGCATGCAAGCAACCCCTGTAATTCCAGTATTGTATTAAATTCTGCTTCTCAGTTACATGTACACATCCCCACTCCTTTCACATACAAAGGTACATGACTAAGAATTTGTCCCAGTACTTTTAAGCTACTTTGAAGATGAGAAAAAATATGTGCTACAAAAGTTTACTATTAATTAGTAATTAGGAAATATTTCTC